GTGAGCAAGACTAGTTTCGAACAAATGTTTAAACAACTCTACTTATTCAATTATGTACAAACTGCCCAGTGTCAGCTAACAATACGAAGAATTAAATTGTGGCGGATTGCTACAAGTTCTTCAAATACCTATAGAATGATAGGTTTCTTTTTGGTGAGTGTAAAAAACATTGCTGTTGTTCCAGATGTAATCTTTATGCACGCCTTCGAAACCTCTGCACTTTGCAGTGGGAGTTTAAAACGGGACAAACACCTGATAGATGGTATCGCTACATCAGTAACATTTTCGGTATTTGGAATCATGACATTAAATCTCTTGGAATTTGTTGTTTTCCTTAACAACTTACATCATTATTAAATTTACTGTTTCGCACACTGGGGATTCTTTCAGGGCCTCACCGTTCTTTGATACCATGGTTTCTGTTGAAAATACATTTGTTACCAGAATATACCGTGTTAAATCGTTCATTTTACATTTCAACTCTCACATTTCACAGAATACCAAATTCTGTATAATTATTGGACAATTTAAAAGAACAGAAATAATCTGCAACATAAACAACCGTGATTAGGGCGCTTGACTCGCAATCTGAGGGTCGTGGGTTCGAATCCGTTTCCCACCAAACATCCTCGCCCTTTCAGCCGTGAGGGCATTATAATGTGATGGTTAATACCACTATTCGTTGATAAAAAAAAGAGCAGCCCAAGAGTTGGCGGTTGGTAGTGATGACTAGCTGCCTTTACTCTAGTATTTCACTACTAAATTAGGGACGGCTGAAAGCCCTCGTGTAGCTTTGCGCGAAATTCAAAACAACTGCTAGGACAGACTTAAGAAACTCGTTTTACTGGTTATTCTGATATCTTAAAACAGTTGGATAAAAGCAATTCAGTTAACCTTTACAGATCAAAATGTTATCTGGACTCTACCCTTTGTCAACGAACCTATCACTGAGTGTTTAAGCAAAGTTATCGAAGAATCCGGGTTAAATATTCGTATTGTACAAAACCTGAGGATTACACTAAAAATTACTTGTTCATTCGGCTTTCAATAAGAAGAATATTGTAAATCAAAAAATTGTCTTGGATGACTCTTATACTGTTAAAATGTAATATATAAAATGACATATATCCAATGTAATGGTAAATACATTGGTCGAAAAGACAAAACACCATTTAATATTAAGCTCTTAGCAAAATGTAATATCTTCCTAGATCGTAAGTTCAATCTTTTAAACCAAAGATAATTAATTTTGGTCTTTGTAATTATGATATCTAATTTTATAGCTTGCGTTTTTCTGTTGCTTAGTTATTCGAATTTCGTTTAACGTGTGTGATAACAAGTGACATTACTATTGTTAGGTCAGGTTTAAATTGTATGTGTTCTTTTCATGGATAAGTTTGTCGAAATTGGGCATTGAAAAGAAATCTTTTTTTTTCTATAGTGTAGTAGTCGATAGTCGATTTTTTTATGAACATGGTTTCAATTCTCCAGTTTGCACTGCAGAGTTTAATAACTTAGTATCACATTCAGTTTCACAGAATACATCTGCACAAGTCACGGATATGTAGAATACTTATACAGAATCTAAAACATCCTTATGAGGTATAAAAGTAATTTCGAAAGATCTGCCAATTTATTATGATGAGTGCTTTATTGATTTTCACCTACAGATAGCCCATTGTGTAGCTTTGTGCTTAATTACAAACAATCAAACAAACCAAAAATAAAATGTGTCTGCCAAAATCAGCAAGGATTAATGAAGAATGCTGACAGGAAATTGGTAATCAGTCTTTAATTAATGTGAAATGACAGTTATAGAGATACCAGTCAAACTTTGTTAAGCTCAAACAAGAGATAATATTTTTATCAGTAATATCAATGCCATCAAGGATTGCAAAAACCACTTGTGATTAGGTGCTACCTAAACTGTTTGGAGATACATCGCCAGATAATTTCACAAGCAGTGATGGATCAAAGTGGCAAAATATTTGTTTAGATTTCTTGATTTGAAAAAGTTCATTAAACTATGAAATTTGTAGTGATAGCTTACTTGTCCTAAGAATGATAGTACGATGTGCAGATAGCGTTTCACTATCCTGTAATGTATATTTCATATTGACACAATTATAAAATACTAGTATAAAAGCTCGCCAAAGATCACGGGAACCGTTGTTGAACGATTAACGAAAATTATATAATTTAACTAAAACTAATTTGTCTGTACCTCAAAATGCACCTACTCTTCACTTATTTCATCAGTCTCGAAGTAAATCTTTAATCACCACATTTTTAGTAAAAACTACGCAA